AGCAGTCATATTTTGAAAGGAATCTTTTCTGAGGAGCAGTTCTCAACACTGGGCTTAAAATATTCAGGTAACCACGTTTTGTCAACCCTTGTGCTGCCGCCCTGGCTTTGCTGCACTTCTAGAGCACAGGCTGTTGATTTAGAACAATTCCTAAGAGCCCTGGGATTTTCAGAATGGCAAACGTGCGTTGGGTTCAACTTCCAGTGACCAGCCGCATTGGCCAGAAAAAGAGAGTTCACTTATTTTTGAAGCTTTGAAGCCATGCAGAGACATCTCCCTAGCTCTGAAAGTCCTCCATGACATCTTCTGTAAATAGAAGGCTGTTCTGCCTGCACTGAAAATCCACTGTTTGGTGAAGCCACCTTCATCAGTGATCTCAGCCGGATCTCCTGGAGACCCTGCCGCAGCTTCTCATCAGCTCCTGCTGCTTCACCTTCAGCTCTTACGTGATGGAGACGGTGTCTTTCCTTCAGCCTTGTGAACCGACCTCTGCTAACTTCCAGCTTCTCTTCTGCAGCTTCCTCGCCTCTCAGTCTTCATAGAATGAAGGAGAGTCGGGCCTCGCTCTCAGTCGGACCTTCACTTAAGAGAATGTTGTGTCTGGATTGATCTCTCTCGACCCTAAAGCTTTCTCCGTATCAGCAGCGAGGCTGCTTCAGTTTCTTGCCATTCATGTGTTCACCGGACGAGCAGTTTTCATTTCCTTCAAGGACTTTTCTTTTGCATTCACAGCTTGGCTAGCTGGCCCAGAGACCTAGTGTTCGGCCTCCTCAGCTTCCAACCTGCCTTCCTCACTCAGCTTCATCCTTTCCAGCTTCTGATTTACAGATGTCAGCCTCTTCCTTTCACTCGAACATTGAGAGCCCTCTAGAGGGCTATTAACTGGCCTAATTCAAATATTTTTGTGTCTCAGGGAACAGGATGCCCAAGGAAAGGGAGAGACTGCGGGGGGTGGGGGTGGGGGCGGGGGAATGGTCAGTAGGTGCCTGGGTCAGAACACATCCAGAATCTATCAGTTCAGTTCACTGCCTTCTCTTGCTGTGGCTCATGGCACCCCCAAACACATGCAACAGTAACATCAAAGGCCACTGATCACAGATCACCATAACAGCCAGAATCACGAGAGGTCTGAAATACTGGGAGAATTAGCAAAATGTGACAGAGATCCAAAGAGGGCATGTGCTGTTGGGAATACAGTGTTGATAGGCTTCTTTGACTTGGGGCTGCCACAAACCTTCAGTTTGTAAAAAAAAAAAAAAAAACTAAAACTAAAAACCGTGCTATCTGTGAAGTGCAGTGAAGTGGAGTGTCCTGCACTCAGGAGTGGTACTTGGCATTTTTCTAGAAACGCACCTGTTGTATTTCAACTTCTTCCGTGAATATCTGTACCTGACAGTATCTAGCGGGCATTAAGGAAAGGCCCTGGGCCAGGCGTGGTGGCTCACGCCTGTAATCCCAGCAATGTGAGAGGCTGAGCAGGGAGGATTGCTTGAGGCCAGGAATTTGAAACCAGCCCTGGCAACACAGCAAGACCCTGGCTCTGAAAATTTTTAAATTAAAAACATATAATAAACAAAGAGAGGGAAAGAAAGACCTGGGCTTAAGGTAGCAACAGAAATGATCTAAAATGATCTATGGAGAGAAAATGATTGAAAAAACGGAGAGAACAGCAGTGATCAGTGGAGTAATGGAAGGCAGTCTAATATGCGTATATTGGGCTTTGTGAAGGGCAGGAAAGAGGAGCAGGACAGTAGGAGAGCTGGAGGAGTACTTGCTCAAAGTTTTCAAAATGTGATTAAAGACTGTAAACGTACAGATTAAGAATCTCAACGAACCCCAAGCAGGAAAAAAGAATTCCATCAAAGAAAGTCATTCCCAAGCATATCATCATCCAATCATTAAGATGACGAAAGGAAAATCTTACAAATAACCAGAGAATAAAAGTCATGCTATGTACAAGTGAACAAAAGTACATGGGTAAGTGGATTTCTCACAGAAACTGTGTGAGCCAGAAGATGGTGCAGACTTCTCTAACGCACTGAAAGACAAAAAGATCAACTTAGAATTCTACACCTAATAAAGAATATCTTTCAAAAATGAAAGTGAATAAATAATTTTTCAGTCAAGTAAAAGTTGAGAGAATTTATGGTCAGCAGACAGCACTACAACAAATATTAAATAACTTTCTTCATAAAGAAAAATTACACGGGTGGAAACATAAACGTACACAAAGAAGGGAGGAAAACTGGAGATGACAAATATGTGCGTAAATATAAAAGCACGTAAATTAATTTTGTAAATGTAAAACATAGCTTCTCAAAGGAAAAAATAATATACTAAAATTTACCATATATGAGGAAGTAAAAATGCAAAGCGCAAAGAACGGAAGAGGGAGGTGGGAGCCGCCACGCTGTCCCAAGGCTCCTACGCTTTGGGTAAAGTGGTTTAACATTATTTGAAGGCATATTGTTACAGTAAGATGTATTCTATACATTCTAGAACAACCACTAAAGATAAAAGGTGTAGCTCAGAAGCCCAAAACTCACTCATATCTACAACCATGTTAAATGTAAACGGTCAGAACGTTACAATTAAAAGGCGGAAATCGTCAGATGGATTTTAAAAGGTCAAGACCCAGCTATATGCTGTCTACAAGATGCTCACTTTAGGGACAAAAACAAAGTAGATTAAAAGTTAAAAAATGAGAAAAGATACACCATGTAACCATCAACAAAAAAATCTGAAACTGCTGTGTTAACATCAATAGAGGTTGATTTGAGAATAGGATACATTCGCATGGATAAAGAAGGACCTCTCATAGTAATAAAAGGTTCAATCCTTCAAGAAAGCATAGTGATCCCCAATGTATAGGCACCTAACAACAACAAAGTGCACATCCTTTCCAAGTATACACAGAACTATCACCAAGAGAGGCAGTGTCCTGAACCGTAACTCCCAATGTATTTAGAAAGATTGAAATCATTTAAAAGACTAGAAATCAATAACAGAATGATGTGTGAAAATCCCCAATGATTTGGAAACTAACCAGTAGACTCCTAAATAAATAATGGGTCAAAAATAAATCACCAAAGGAATTTAAAAATATTTTGACCCAAATAAAAATGAAAACATAATATTTCATAACTTTTGGGTGTAGTTAAGCAATGCTTAGAGAAAAGCTTGTAACATGAAATTCTGATGTTGGAAAAAGGGAACCATTTCCAGTTAATAATCTATACCCCCTTCTTTGAAAACTATAGAATGAAGAATAATTTAAGCCCAAAGTAAACAGAGGGAAATATTAAAGAAAATAACAATAAATAAAATAGGAAAACAAGAGAGAAAAATTCATACACCCCAAAGCTACCTCTTAAAAAACGTATTGAGAAAACTCTAGCCAGACTGCTCTGTAAGAAAAGAGAGAGACACAAATGGCCAGTGTCAGAAATGAAAGGAGGAGCATCACTAGTAAACCCGCAAGCAATGAAAGGATAAGAAGAAGGTATTACGGACAACTTTATGCCAATAAATTAAAAACTAATAGGAAGGGAATAAATTTCCAAAAGACACAAACCACTAATGCTCACTCAGAGAGAAATAGATGCAGATAACATATTCGTGTACATGGGAAATCCAAACAAAACTACAAAACGCTACAAGAATTAGTGAGTTTAGCAAGGTCACAAGATAGAAGCTCAGTGTATCAGAATTAATTGGACTTTTAAATCCTAGCAATGAACAACTGGAAATTAAAAATTTTAAAAATTACAGAATAAAAGTATTACATACTTAGTGATCAATTTAACATTAAAAAGTGTGTAAAGCTCATGTCATACACAGTAAACTACCAAATACTGCTGAGGCAAATTAAAGTTACCGACACGGAGAGCTATCACATTTTCATGGATAGGAATGCTCAATATTGTTAGAATGTCATTTCTCCTGAAATTGATCTATAAATTCAAGGCAATACCAATAAAAATATCCCAGAATGCTTTTTTTTTAGAAATTGACACGTTAGTTTTAATGTTTATGTGGAGATGCAAAGGACCTAAAATACCCTAAAACGTTACTGAAAAACAAGACAAAAGTTGGAAGACTTACACTCTAACTCATGACTATAACAGAGCTGTAGTGATCAACACAGCGTGGTATTGGCAAAAGGAGAGACACACAGATCAATGGAACAGAGTCCACAAATAGACCTACGCATAAAAGGCCAATTACTTTTTGACAAGGTCGCCAAGGCAATTCAATGGGAAAGTCATAAACTTCTCAACACATAATTCTGCAACAATTGTATACTTAAATGTAAAGAAATTAACTTCAACCCTTACCTCACACCACATAAAAAACTAACTTGAAATAGATCCTGTATCTAAATATAAGAACTAAAAGTATAAATATACAAAACAATGAAGAAAACATAGCAGAAAATCTTGGTGACCTTGAGTGAGGCAAAGGGTTTTTTAAACAAGGCGAAAACAAAAGCACAAACCATAAATGAAAAAAAAAAAATAGGACGTTGCTAAAATTTAAATGTTGGTTCTTCAAAAGAGAGTGTTAAGAAAATGACAAGGCAGGTCAAATACTAGGTGGATATATTCACACACTTTCACCAGTCTGAGGAAGGAGGTGCTGGATGGTACTATGTCTGGAACATGGAAGGAGGTCCTCACTCCCTCAGGCCTCCTACCTCAGCACTGCTGCTTGTGCTGATGTTACACTGAGAACCATTTAATTTTTAAATACAGTCCCTTTTCCCAAGCTCCTAAGCCTCTCACAGGCATATTCATGGGCAGAGGGGCCTGGCTGGATGGGATGCCCTCTCTCTGGATCACAGCCATCCCAATGGGCATGGTTCTGGCCATCACTGAGGCAAAGCAGGCAGGTAAACCTTGGTTCACCTCCTTGGTCCCAACCCGAGGAGCAGCTGGCTCCATGTGGACCCCCACAGATCCTGGTCCTCCTAGGCCCCCAATGCCACCCAGCAGGCATACCTCTGGGATGGGTGTGGCTCCCCATGGCTGGTCAGGGTCAGGCTGACAGGCAGCTGAACCAATGATTAGGGCGTCTTCTGGAAGGAATCCACCTTCCAAGAAAGAGGGTAAATGATCACAGTGTGGTTACGCTGGCAAAAAAGGGAGAGAAAAATAATGTTGCCTTCATAAGGGAGTCAGCTGAACATTTTGCAATTCTTCCCCAAATCAACTAAGCCATTTTCACAACATAAAATGAGAAAAAAAATGTAATTATTTCAAGGTGTCCTTCACCTCGAACTCACTCGAGGTCCACAGCTTAGGGGTTTTAAAAAATACATATATTTAAAGCAAATATTATTGCAAATGACTACTCTGTAATTTGGATTAATTGCTTTTGGTTTTTTCTGGAAATAAAATCTTTAAGGCAAACTCATAAAAACCCTGAAGCACAGGGCAGCTGTTCCTGCAGTGCCTCATTTCAGAGAGTCCAGTGCCTCCCCACAGGGGACTGTGTCGGGTCGCAAAGTTGCCTGTTTGGCCAAAGACCCTGGGGGTACCTGTGCCACCCTTGTCAGAGGCCACAGTCAAGAACAGCCCCAGACCCCACCACAGTGCCCATCACACCCGCTGGCATGGCAGCCTGTGAACCTCAGGGGTGGCCCAAGATGCCTACCCAGGGAGAGTCCAGGAAGGGCCATTGCTTCCTCTTGGGGGTGAGGTCAGGGGCTTAACTGGGCCCTGCTGTGTTGGCTTCAGGGACTCAGCCAAGGAAGATGGGCAGGGCCAGGGAGAATTGGCTCTGGCTGTGCCTGATCTCACATGAAGTGTGTGGCTGTCTGTGTGCTGGGGCAGTGGGAGGGTGGAGCACAAAAAGGGGTTACAGGAAAGACCCTCGCACTCCAAGCAGCTTCCAGGGTTTCCCGTCCTCCTTGGAACATCCCAGACTCAAGCCTTTTTCTGACGTAGGATCCTAGCAAGATCCTGTTGCTCAGAGGGCTCTCAGGAAAGCCATCAGGTGTGTGTTCGTTTTCAGGAATGAGTTGCACAAGTGTTGCAGGGCCCCAGGAAAACAGAGATGGCAGGGCCATTCAGACATCTCTGGGGACCCTGGGGAGCCATTTCAGCAGAATGAGGGACAGTGGGCAGAGTGTCTGGCAGGGCGAGGGCATGGATGCCATCTGCCTGCCACTCACCTGTTTCTGTAAAGCCCATCACTTTATTTGTTCCGGGCAGCAATCCTGAGAGGTGGGTATCACCTCTCTTTCTTGGGTCCTATGCCCAGGGTCACAGGCCTGGGAGTGACAGACTGGGGACTGTTCTTGAACCTACAGGTGCAATAAATAGAGGTGAGGAGGATCAAGTGTCTGTCCCTGGAGCGCTCCACCCTGTGTCAACAGAAGACATGGATCAGATCTGCTTGTCAAGTTGAAACTTATCACTACACACAGCTGGGCACAAGAACAGAGGTCTGGGGTCTCAGGGCAGTTCTGAGTGATCAGAGTGCCCTGTGTCTTGGAGCAGATGCCATTCACCTACTAGGCATCAGTTTTACAATCAGCTCATTGAGTGGAGGGATTCATCCATCCATCTATGCACTTATACCTCTACCCATCCATCCACCCACCTATTCACCCATCCATTTATCCAACCATCATCCATCCACCCACCCACCCACCCACCCACAGTCACCCACTATCCACTCATCCCTCCATCCATCCACCCATCCACCAACCCACTCATCCATCCACCCTACGTCCACCCACCATCCATCCACTCTTCAACCAACTCACCTATCCACCCAATACCTGCCCACCCATCCATTCACACACTCACCCACCCATCCACCTAACCATTCACCCATCCATCCACTCAACACCCACCCACCCACCAACCATCTGTCCATTCATCCATCCATCCACCAACACACACATCCAACACATCAACCCAACACTCACCCACCTATCCATTCACCCACTCGCTCATTCATCCACTCACCCACTCATCATTCATCCACTCATCCATCCATCCATCCATCCACCCATCCATCCACACACTCTTACACCCACCCATCAACCCGGCCCCCACCCACCATCCATCCGTCCATCCATTCACCCACCCACCCACCCATCCATTCACCCAACACCCATCAACCCATGCACCTACACATCCACCCACCACCCATCCATCCATCCACCCATCCACCCACCCACCTACACATTCACCCATTCATCTACCTGACACCTGCCTATATATCCATCCATATACCCACCCCACCCACACACCCACCCATTCATCCATCTATCCATCCATCCATCCATCCATCCATCCATCCATCCATCCCTCTCACCCATCCATCCATCCCTCCTCCATCCACTCACCCACCCCATCCACCCAACCACACACCCACCCGTCCACCCAGCACCCACCCACTCACCCATCCACCCACCAACCCACTCACCCAACCACTCATCCATCTATCCACCCATCCACCCAACACCCACCCACCCATTGCACACAACCATGATCCTTCAATCCTCCATCCACTCACCCACCCCACCTACCCACCCATCCACCCAACACCCACCTACCCACCCATCCACCCAACACCCACCCACCTACCCATCCATCCATTCATCCATCCATCCACCAGCTCACCCATCCATCCATCCATCCTCCATCCACTCATCCACCCCACCCACCCATCCACATATCCACCCATCCACCCAACACCCACCCACTGATCCATCCATCCACAAACCCACCCACCCATTTATCCATCCACTCATCTATCTATCCACCCATCCACCTATCCACCCATCACACACAACCATTATCCATCCATCCTCCATCCACTCACACATCCCACCCACTGATCCATCCACCCAACACCCACCCATCCATCCATCCAACCATCCATTCATCATTCCACTCACCCATCCATGCATCCCTCCGCACACACACCCATTATCCATCCATTCATTCATCCACCAATCCACACCCCATTCGTCATCCATCCAACCTCCATCCATCCATCCACTTTCCACTCGTCTTCCATCCATCCATCCCACAATCATTTATTCATCATCTTATGTGTGCCACACTCTTCTCTATGCACTGGGAAATAAAGAAAAACAAAACAGGCAAGAAGCTTCCCTCTGGGTGACACCCTCAGAGTTGTGTTGGGTGGGGAGGTTCCAGGACCACCAAGAAGCCTTTGAGGTGACAAGCAGGGGAAGAGGTGGGGGTAGTGGACAAGAAGGCAGCAACTGCCCTAGATGGAGGAGTTGCCCCTCCTGTGGGGATTAAGGCCTGTGTCCGGGCCCCTCCAGGCCACCCCTCTCAAGGAGGCAGAAGGGCATGGGGTGTGGGAGCAGAGCCAGCTCATCGCAGGGTGTGTGGAAGGAGGAGCCTGTGCTGGCTGCTCTAGTCTGAAAGGAATCAGTAAGTGTTCAGGCCCCTGTGGATTCCCAGGACTGTGGAGCAGCCACACCCCTGCCCTGGAGAAGATTGGGAATCTGTGTGTCCAGGCCAGGAAGGACATCAAAGGTGTACCCTAGGCTGAGTCTGCATGAGAGTGGCCAGAGTGCCAGTCATGTGACACAGGAAGACTCAGTCTTAAAAAGGAGGGAAATTCTGATATGTGTGACAACATGGCTGAACCTTGAGGATATAAGCCAAGTGAGATCACACAGTCACAAAAAAAAACAAATCCTGTGTGACTGCACTTCTGTGAGGTCCCTGGAGTGACCAAGTCCATAGAGACTGAAAGCAGAATGGGGGGTGTCAGGGGCTGGGGAGGGGCAATGAGGAGTGACTAGAGATGAGGGTGCTGACGGCTGCACAGCTGAGTGAATGTGCCCAATGTCACTGAATGCTACACTTAAAAATGGTTAAGATGTTAAATTGTATTTGACCTCATTTACAAAGACCTAGCCTTTGGGCTGTGCACTGTGCATGGAGCATGGTCCTCAGCCCTACATGCAATGACCCTCTCCTTTACAGTGGTCACTGTAAGGCCAAAAGCGCTGTGACCAGCTCCATCCCAGAGCAAGGCCATGATGCAGCCAGGGTCACTCCAGATCCTGCACACCCACCACCCACCCACCCGTAGGGGCTGGGAGCCTAGGGCCAGACGCCTGTGCCTCTCCCTTCCAAACATATGATGTGCTGAGAGCATATGCCCAGCTGTCCACACCCCAGCAGAAGACAGACAAACTCAGAAATCAAAGTGATATTTAGAAAATGCAGTTGATTTAATGTGGTGCAGGAAGCATCCCCAACAGTGGGAATATGGAATGCTCCTGGGAAGTAGCCGAGGCTGAGCTGGTTCTTGAAGGACAGATAGGATTCTCATGTTTATTTTTATGTTTTGAGAAAAGATCTCACTCTGTCACCCAGGCTGGGGTGCAGTGGTGAGATCTGGGCTCACTGTAACCTCCACCTCCTGAGCTCAATAGATCCTCCTGCCTCAGCCTCCTGAGTAACTGGGACCACAGGAACATGCCACCACCATGGTGGGCTAATTTCTTGATGCTCTCATTTTTAAACATTGTAACACTTCTACCACTAATATATAGTCAGTGGACTATAAAAATTAAAATGCAGAGAAACAAAACAGAGAAAAAAGTTTTAATATTCTCATATTTCATCACCCAGGGAAAACCACTGTTAATATTTCAGCTGACACTCTTAAAGGTGGACCTGTCAGTATGGCAATAAATATGCACTGTTGTCACTACATTCACTGCCTATGCAACATTCCTTTGTAGGAAACACAAATTGCATTTGTTAGCTGTTTTTGTGGCCAGAAGCAGGTCATGGGAGAGGCTCTAGAAAGATCACTGATCAGGATGCAAAGAGCCCTGTGGAGTCAGAGACCCTGTGTATGGACACTGGGTGTGGTATCAGGCCTGGACCTAAGAATGGACATAGTGTTTCTAAAATAGCTACAAAAGCCTCTGGGTTAAGATGGCAAATACACACCCATTCAATGGTGTCCCCTCTGTAAGCCCCACTTCAATCACAAAAAAGAGATTTTAAAATGCATCTACCTGTGAGGGTTGGCCTCCTTTCTGAAAGCTGAATTGCTGATGGACCTGGACCTGTGGCAACTGGGTCAGAGACAAGAGAAAGTCCTGACTAGAGAGCAGGAAGGTGATATTTTATCAGCTTTGTAACCAAGGGGAACTCCCAACACTGAGGGCTGGGTGTAAGAGTATCTCTAGGACTTGGGGTGCAAGGGTGGCTATGATCAGGAAGGCTAGAGTGAATGGGACCCATGACCCAGTTAGATTCCTGTCCCCTCCTTATCTTCCTTGAGCGACCACTCCTCCCCAACACCAGCAAAAGTCCAGAAGTTTATTTCTCAGAATTCAGGCAGCTGACTGCAAAGATCCCTGCCTTCAACTCCACATTGACTCCAAGAAGACTGGCAACCAGACCACTCCCTCATTCCTTGGGTAACTTCTCTGGGAATCAGGTCAGTTCCTAAAGATAACTGGCATACAAGGTTCTCAGGATCACCCCCATCCACGAGTCTCAAGGACAATGTACCCCTCCTTTCTTACTGTCAGATCTTCCAGTCAGCTCCTCATCATAAGCAGAAAGCACAGGATCAGCAGATGCCTCAGGAAAGACATATCAAAACAGATAGAACAAAGCCAACAGGAGGACACACAGATTAAATGGGCAGAAGAAAGCTCATATAAGTATCAAGTTCCAAAAATAAAGAAGAAAGAAACAGAGAGTAGGAAACACTAACAAAGCATTTCTATACCCAGCTCAACTATCCTTCTTGTACTGCAGAAGTCCTAAAATATGTATCTTCTATGCATCTTTTATCAGAAGTTACCAGAAGATATGCTTCACGAAAATGAGAAAGTAATCCAACAAGATACGTAGTCTGTAAAGGTAGCAGGAGATGCAAAGGAATTTCCCTAGAGAATGGCCATGGGCAGGACATAGAAGGCAGCCAGTCCATATTGGCATGAGTGGCTAAGGAGCCAGATACGTGGATGGCCATCACCACTATTCTGTGGTCATCACTCTCTCATTCTCATGTAGGTGAGGCGGGCTCAGATTCTTACCACACCTTGAATGTCTTGACTATGGACAGATGAAATCCCCATTTCCTCCCCATATTAATTTCTGGTGGTGCTCTAACAAATTACTACAAATTTAGCAGCTTCAAATAGCATGTACATACTAGATTTTGGTTTTGTGGTTCAGAAGTCTAAAATAGATCTCAGTGTCCTAAAGTCGAGGCATGGGCAGCACTGCCTTGAGGGATCTGTGGGGATCATTCCCGTGTGAGGCCCCTAGGAAATGGGCCTTGCCAGTAGTGAGCTTGAGCCTGAATACAGTTCCCCGGTTGGGGGAGTTGAGCTGAGGGAAAGCAGGAATCGAGAGAGGGACTATGTTATTCTAAATAATTAACAGACATTACTTTATGGATATGAGGACTTGGGAGGCATTGTGTCCACTTTTGGGTCCTTATGGTTTATTGCTTGATTGTGTTCATTTTGGACCCTTGTTACCTTCATTGTAAAATATTAACTCAAGTATTTACACTTGATAACTTACTTACCGTAACTTACTGGGTGTAACTGTAACTTACTTACTGTAACTTACTGGGCATAACTGACTTACTGGGCTTAACTTACTTACTGGGCGTAACTTAGTGGGCATAGCTTGCTTACTATAACTTAAGTACATTGATCTGGCGTAAACAACATTAACTTCAGAAAAGTATATAATGGAACATATCGCAAAAATAAAATTGCTGCATGGGCATAGCGCATGTGGCCCTCCAGACCTTGCTCTTTTTCTTTCTCCTTTTTTTTCCGGCGCATGCTCTCTTCCAGGTTTGGGACCCTCTCGCTGGACGAGATTCCCGGGCTCACGTTCAGTTCACAACACTGCCTCACTTGCTGTAGGCTCTAAAATCCATTTCTTTGCCTTTTTTCTAAGCTTCTAGAGTCTGTATTCACATACCATGTCTCACCGCCCCTTCCTCTGTCTTCAGAGCCAGCACAGCCGGAGGAATCTTCCTGGTATTCTCACGTCTCCTCTCCATCCTGACCCTGACTCTCCTGTCTCCCTCTTCAACTCTTGGATCCTTGTGACCCTTAAAAGTGGAAGAGGGAGGCAGGAGCGTCAGGACATTAGGCCCACTCAGATAATCCAGATTCATCTCCCTACTTTAAAATCAGCAGAGAGCACAACTTTAATTCCTTAATGTGTCCTCCCACTGACTCTACATGGTTTCACCTCCTCCCCTCCCTGTCCTTCTGCATCAGCCATGCTGGTCACTGGAGCCTCAGGGCCTTCACACTGGCTGTTCCCTCTGCCCCACTGCTGTTCCCTCAGACACTTGGGTGGCTCCCTCCTCACTCCCTCATGTCTCTGCCCAAATGTCACCACCTCAGTGAGGCCTTTCTTGAACAACCTATTGAAATTTGTGCCTTCACCTCTCTCCTCCTTTGTGTCCATTGCACTAGAATCATCTAGCCTGGCACATCAGACCCTTATGTATTTTGCTTATTGCCGCTTTTCCCATGAAAACATGAGCTTGATGGGAGCAGCATCTGTCTCCATCACTGCGGCAGCCTCAGGGTCTATGGCTGTCCCTGGCACATAGAAAGCACACAGCGTGTTGCGTGGACAAATGGAAGCTTCACTGCAGCCTGGTGGACACCTGCCCCTATTAGTAAGCCTGACGTCCCACTGGCTTCCAGCTAATGGTCTACTGTCAATGCCTGGCGGGTTGGAGCTGGACTCTGGTGTGGCCTATCTGTTCTGGTGTCTTTCATTGGCCCAGGGTGCCACTGCCTCTAATTCCACAGCCAGGCAACCACTAACCTGCCTCAGTCTCTATGGACTGGCCCATGCTGGACATCTCAAAGAAATGGAATCACACAATGTGTGACCTTTTATGACTGACTTCTTTCATGGAGCATCATGTTTTCAAGGTTCATTCATGTAGCAAGTGTCAGACCTTCATTCCTTTCCATGGTGACATAATTTTCCATTGCATGGATATGCAGTGTGTGCTGATTTTAATGCTCCTCACTCATGTCAATTTGGTGAAGCTTCTGCAGATGCGTCATTCTGCAGTGAGACTCACTCTAGGTTCTGGGAGACCTGGGAGGACGATAAGCTTCTGCTGAGGCTTGCACAAATTCTTAGGGAGGTTTAACGGTCTTAATCTCAGACTTATGGTTTAAAAGTAGTCTATGGAGTTAAAACCATTTTCACCATTTGGACTTGGCTCTGTGGACTGGCCCAGGGAGAAACCTTTCTGATGTGCTGGGCCAGAGTAAGAAAAGACAGCAGCAAGGATGACTGAATGGGTTTTTCCTACTTAGCAAAAAGCATACCCCATCAAAGTAAAATCACTGAACACGGATTTCACTGGGAAGGTGGCCTTCAATGAATGACATCATTCCATGAACATAAATCTTAGTTTGTATGATTTATTTGTGTTAAAAACTCTACATATGATGCTGGGTTTTCGATAGCTTTGTTTTAAATGGTAGTTTTTTCCTTTTTAGTGAAAGTTGGAGCTATGATAAGCAGCTCCAGCTGTAAAAATGAAAGGCAGGGGTGAAGCCGGGGTGCTTATTACAGAAAAATGCTAAGTGGGGAGGGGTATTTAGCCCTTCCATCCTCTAAAATGAAAATCACCCTCTGCCACAGTGTGCCACAAACAATTACCTGCCGTTTATTAATTAACCTCTTTTAAAAGCACCACATTTCTACATGAAACTGCTATTTCTCTAATGTGAAAGCTGGCTTATTCGTGTTTATCGGAACGACAATGTCCCATGTGGTCCAGGCTTAGTACACACATAACTGACACGGATTTTTTTAATGGCACATTTGGTGATTGAAAATACCTTCCCAGAAGAAGCCTCGACACTCAGCACAACTCACTTGGTGCCTTAGTGCTAACCGAGCCCCCAGAGCCCCTGGCCAGAGCACAGGGTCTCTCCCTGGCCCCAGCAGCCGCAGCACAGTCCTGGATAACTGCTCCAAGAGTGGAAGGAAGCAGGCTCAGGACTTGCAAGTGAGAGGCGGACTGAGGAAATACAGACTCCAATGGCTGAGTCATTCTGGACCCTGGCAGGTAAGTGCATTGGTCATTGTCAGAAGCACATAGGTGACCGAGAGGCCAGAGTACCTTCTGGGTGGCATGACTGCAGTGGGCTCTCATGGTGCTCACACTCCGAGCACCTTAGGAGCCCCAGGAAAGGGTCCCAGGCAGAGATGTCTCTGCAGACGAATCTCCGCCACCCTGTGCACCTTGGAGCACAGCACCCCTGCAGCATGAGTCACCTGGAGCTTTGTGGTCAGGGAGCTCTTCCCTGAGTCCTGAGTCTGCCTGTAAGGACAGGTCCTTGACTAGGTCACTCAAGCCTCTGAGCATCAGTTTTCTCATCTGTAAGGTGGGCACAGCACAGCACCCACCTCACAGGACTGTGAAGGCCACACAGTTCCCAGCTGCAACCCAGGGGTGGGAAATGAGCAGGGCAATGCCCAGCCCTCTGTCTGGTGCAGCACCCAGGCCAGGGAGCCTGTGGAAGGACCAGCTTCTCTTCTAGAACTCTCACTCTGCCATGGTGCCTGCCCCGCCCCCATCCTGCTGGGAACCCCTGAACAAGCCAGCTTCCTTTTCCAAACACAGCGCAAGGGGGCTGGGCAGCTGCTCACTGCTGTGTCTTTGTCACATGGTGCTGGCATTGGCTTACTGAACACAGGGCAGCGCTCTGAGACCTGATGGATGATGGAGGCTACAGAGGGGTGGCTTGGCCTCAGGCAGTCAGCACAGTCCCTGCCCCGGGCTGCTGCCTCCACACCCACCACAGCCTGCAAGGTTGCCTTCATCTCCCTGGGCCTTCCCCGGGCTGAAACTGCCTGTGGAGCCCTAAGGGAAACCCACTGGCTCAGCTATCTTCATTCAGTTGTGACTCATCCATTCTTTCTAAGGACAGAGCACAGCCCAGCCTTGGGCCAGGTTCTGGAGCTTTGGAGAAAGTGAGCTGGAACCCAGGTCTGATGGAGGAGACACCCTCCTGCTTTACTCATGCCATAGACTGGAAGCTCCAGGAGCTCTGAGCCCTGCAGCGCCTCCTGCAAGAGCGAAGGAAGAAACGGGTAAATGGAAGCCAAGCTCGGGCTGCAGTTGCCAGGAGACCAGCTGGCCCTCAGACACCCACTGCCACCCACCACCCCACTGGCAGCACCAGGGCAGGACAAGGTCAGGCCGGCAAAGCTGAGGTCAGGGGCCCCTGAGCCAGTTAAGGCCTTCGTGGATGAGCAGAGCAGGTGGCTCCTGAGGCGTCTGTCCTCACGCCTGGCCCCGACTTGTCTTCCGTGTGTCCAGCCAGGAGATGGTTACCTTCCAGGGCTCCAGCTTACAGCCTCAGGGAGCAGCCCTGGGTTCCTCAAGAGGGCAGGTGGGAGGGAGAAGGGCTCTCGCCTCTCCAGGGACCTGCAGGACTCCGGGAACTGCAAGCCACTGGCCTGGGCGCTGTGCCCACTACGAGGTGAGGCTCTGCTGCCGCCCATTCTACCTGGGGAAACAACTCCCAGGAAGCTGGAGGGGCTGCCTGAGGGTCCCAGGGGTCAGGAGGCAGAAGCTGAGCTTGAGTTCTTCCTGTCTCCCCACTCCCCGAGCTGTCTGTGGACCCTGGAAGCCCTCCCATCTTCCCTTCTGTCGAATACCACCTGGGTGTTCCCCTTGTAATTCCACTGAAGCCATGGGGGAGGGGTGTCTCCCCTCCAGGGAGAGGCTGCTGAAGGCTGGACCTGCCCTGTTTACCCCAGTTCCCAGGGCAGGACCCCTAGGTCCTCAAAAAGGTTACCTGTGGGGGCTGCGGGGGGGCACGATTCTTTACACAAGGGTGCCCCTGCCACTCAGGGCCCCTGCCTTGATGAGGGGGCCTAGGGACCCAAGGTGTGGGGGTGAGGGCTTCCCACAGCTCAGCATCCGGTGAGGGACTGGAGTCCCTGAGTTACCCAAGAGCGCTGGGTTTCTGGCAGGCAGCCCTCTCCCGGGAGGACGCCCGACTGATTCCATCACCTTCAGGTCACTCTAAAGAATGGGTCATTTTTCCCTGCCTGGGGCGATCCTGGTCTCCGCTCTATTCTTGCCGGCTCCTTGAGCCACGTCTCCACTGCCACTGAGATTACTGGATTAGTAGAAAGAAAAGCATGGAGAGGTAGAGCCTTGGGTGTCCCCCTGGCCACCCCACTCCCCTCCCCTCCTTCCCCTAGGTCCTGCCCCGGGAGGTGGGAGGCAGGGAAAGTCTTCTCAGACCACTGCCCCCTGCTCCTGCCACCCCACCTGCTCTGTTCAGATCCTAAGCCTCAGCTCCCCAGGCCATTCTGCGGGCCCCACCCAGATGTGTGGGGACTTAGCTGCCACCGGTGCCAAAAGCCCTAGTCCTCAGAGGTGGGCAGAGGGGTGGCGTGTTCCCTTCTGCCAGCTTTGTGGTGTCTGGGGCGCAGGCCTGGGTCACCATTCCTCCTTCCATCCCTGCAAGCCCCTGGCAGCCCCTGCCTCTTCTCCAAATCTTCTCCACCCTCTGCAGGATTTGGGATGTTGGGTGGTGCCATATCAGGTTCGGGTCTGCATGAAACCTCCAGGCTTCTGGAGACCCAAAGAGACTGGAGAGGAAAGCCCAGGGTGGGCCAGACTCTGCGGCAGGGTTAGGATGGAGACCCCAGGGCGGAGGAGTCGGCCTTCCCTCCTCCTTCACCCAGCGGGTGAGGAGAGTTCCAGGAGGGGCAGGGGACCGGGAGTGAGGGGAGGAGACCCGGACAGGCGGCTGGCTCTGGAGCCCAGGTGGGGCACGCCCTGCCCCGCAGGCCTTTGACCCCGCTCAGCAAACGAGGCCCACGGGATGGGCGGCCTTGGGCCTTCGCCTGGCGGCTTCCATCCAGCCACTCTCCCCAGCCAGCCCTGCAATAACCCCCTGGAGGAGGCAGGCGCGCCTGGCCCCATTTCACAGACGAGGAAACCGAGGCGTGGGGAAGAAATCCACCGCAGCTCGGTCTCCACGGTTTCACTTGTGGGGTATTAATCTCGCAGGGTCAAAGGCAAAATTTGGTTTTCAAGCTAAGAGGGCGGGCAGAGTGGGGCAAGGAGCGCAGCGGAGGGACGGAAGGAGGGGGCCTTGCAAGCCGAATGTGGATTCCCGAGCCAGCCAATTCAGGAAACCCGCTTGGTGACCTGGCCGCCCGCCCCTGTCCTGGGCTCTGGGCAATTGGGGAAGCGGAAGGCGGGATCCCACCTGGCTACTCCCGGAATGCGGCCGCCGGGCCCGGAAGGCTGCGAGGCTCGCTATTTCGTTGCTGCCCACGCGCGGCCAGAACTGGGAGCTGAAGGCAGCGGCCGCGTCCATGCAGGCAGCGTTCTGGAGCCGGTCCGTGCCACCTCCGCGGCGCGCAGCTCCCCGCCGGCCGCAGGACGCGGGCGCTGTGGGTAACGAAGTTGCTCCTCCCGGGCCAGCGCAGGCCGGCGGCCCCGGGGCGGCAGGTGGCAGGAGGGGACCCACTGCACGGCTGCGGGCGCGCGTGAACACACGGCTCAGGGCACACTCAGCGCATCCGGGCAACGGCATTCGTTGGCGGCTTTTTAAAGGTTCTGAGATCAACAGGGAAAGCGTGGGAAACCGATTCCCTGTATCCTTCCAGCGGCCGGGACGCTCCCGGTTGCAGACACCCAGCGGCAGCGCCCTGGCCCAATGTGGGCCGCACACGGGCGGGAGTCGTTCTGCGCTTCCTGCACCTTCTCAGTGAGCCCGGTTAAGCCTGGATTAGGCTCCCTCCTGCCCCAACGGGCGGAGACCCAGGGAGTTCAGGTTCACCATCTCCACCTCTAACAAAACAAAACAAAAACTTCGGGGCTCCAGACACCCCGACACCTGCACAGAAGAGCCAGGCACCTAGTGGGGATGCCGGGACACGAAGCGGGCAAAGGGACTCCACTGGGGTGGCCACAGCATGGTGCCTGCCACGGCCCTGGCAGTCCCCGGAAGCAGCCCATCTGCAAGGGACAAGGCTCCCTCTGCACTCAGAAGACATCGTTTCCACACATCTGGGGTTTGTTGGAAATCAGGGACATGGCTCACATTCCTAGGAAGTTCACTCCTCCCAGTTCCCCAATCTGGGAACAGGAATCAGGTATCGGCTTTGGGAGGCCCCCACCTCTGAGCGCCACAGGGAACCAAGCCCTGCCGCCGTTGGGCCAGAACTGGGAACTGTGCCCTGTCCTCTCCAAGAACTCTGGTGCACAGGAAGATTTCCCAGGCCTGGGGTGGGAGGAAGGTGAAGAGGAGCCCTGAAATATTGACCCCAGGGTCTGGGGGGATTCCTGTGGCCTCATCATCCTCAGGCATGATGCTGGAGAAAGCGCCCACTTCGGGTCATTCCAGAGGCCTGAATAAGGAAGAAATGACCTTTCTGCTGGCCTGTTCTCCCCCACACACCCGCCATTCTAGACCAAGCACAGGCTCCTTCCAGCACTCAGCCCCCATCGAGTCCCCTGCTAGGTGTGGGGTCCAGCGGCCCTCCTCCACGTCCCCTCTGCTTGTGGGAGCCGAGTCACCCATCCTCAGGGCCCTGTGGTCTCCCACCTCCTGCTGCTCAAGTCTGGGAGACATTCCCACCAAGTGTGGGGCAGGAGAATGGGCTGAGAGAGCCACAGCCTCATCCTGGCCTGACTCAGTGGCCCAGGTAATGGGGGTGGGGTGAGTGCTGGCCATCTGGATTCCTCCTGGGGCATTTCCCATCTCCCAGGAAAGCCAGTTGGGAAACTAGAGGATAGGTGCTTCTTTGCTACCCGGAGTTTTTCCTAAAGGAACAAGGTGGGGATGAGGAGTGAGTAAAACTGGCCCTGGAATTCAACAGAGCCTGAGGCCAAGTGTCTGAAAGACTACAGCCAAATTCAAAAAGCACAGAGGACCGGGAGGGAAAGGGATGAGAACGGATGAGGTCAGTCCACCTTGCCAGGCACCCTGCCCACTCCTGCCCTGCACACACAGCCCAAAGCAGGGCTCCCTGGGGCCTGAGGGGCTGCGACGGGCAGCTGGGGCAGCTCTGACCCTGCCAGTTCACACCGGGCACAAAGCCTGGCCAAGCCAAGGAGCCCTCTAGCCCTGAATGCATTTGTAGACTCTGGGAGTGCAGGGCGGGCCCTCGCGGTAGTTTTGCTGCTCAGTGGGTTTCTGGGGAACCCCTGGGGCTTGGGGTCCTCCTACGGCTGTCTAGTAAGACACTTCCTCCAGCACTGCAGGACCAGCATTTCTGGCTTTCGAGCCTGGCCTTTACCCTAAGGAATTCACCTGCTCATGGGTCTCCAGGCACTGGAAGCACTGGGGGTCTGCAGGGCTCGTGGGTAAATGGAGTTTCCATGGGTTCTCTCTCTGCCCAGCCCCAGCAGAAGTCGGAGGTAAAAGCCCCTCTCTAGCCTCCTAGACCCCAGCTATGAAGTTGGTTTTGGAACTTGACAGCAGCATGCCGTTGTCCGGTGTAGGAGCCTCTATGTGGCCAACCCACACTCACTGTCTGGACAAGCCAAGGAGGTCACTGGGAACGAGCCCACCGCACTTACAGTCCCAGCACAGGGTCCCAGGACCTGGCATCAGCCCCAAGGCTCTACAGAGCTGGACTTGGTTTGAAAACTGCCCTCAAACCTTCTAGTATCAACCTTTTTCCCGCTGGGCCTCCACTTGCCCTACTTGTTCCCCAAGCCCCCCAAAGCCCTTGCCAGGCAGGGACACGGAACTGCACCCCAGGGAGGACCTACATCTACCCTTCCCGGTTTCACCCTTTCTCCCCATGGGACTCCTCAACGCCTGACCTGCTCTCCGCTTCTGAGTGTGGCCACGTGGGGGCAGGGCCTGGTCAGACCAGGACGAAACCTCAGCCAGGGCCACCGCCTTGGGAACAGCCTGCCTGGGCTCCTCCAGCACACTGGGAGACACTGGAGCCAGGGCTGCTTGGGCACCTTGTGGGTGGGCTCTCGACCATCTCCCTGGCCAGCCTTTACCAGCAGCAGAACCAGAGAAGCGTGACCCCATCCCTACCCCACAGCTTGGCAGAGGGCAGGGACCAGAGGGCACAGAGTAGTTTGCTCCCACACCTCCCACCCTTCTTCCCCAGGCCCTGCCAACAGTGCCAGGGACAGCTGTCCTGCCCCAGCCTGGCCAGGGTTCTGAGAATCACCTCCTGAGCTGGAGGAGGGAGCAGGGAGAAGGACTGAGAGAGCTGGGGCACCCCAAGAGCACCAGGGATATGCAACCTTGGCATCTGTTGGCAACCTCTGGGGCAGGGGAAAAGGGGGCCTTTGCTGGGCTGCAGGGTGAGGGTGGGGTAAATGACCCTCTCTGCAGGTGGGAGCGCTTCGCAGGCACCACGGTAACTACCCCAGGGCTCCGGAGGCTTCAGGCAGGAGCAGGCAGGAATCTGGGGTGCAGAGTATGGGAGTGACCTTGAGTCCTTCATAGTCAGCAGCTCCAGCCAGGCTGGGCCCACGGTTGGAAGCCTGCCCTTGGCGGGGTTTAGGCAGGACAGAGCCTGTGTTCCTGGGCTCCAGCACCTCCCCTGCACTCGGGTGAGTAGGTTCAGAGCCCACCTTGGCCATCTAGGGCTACAGTGGTGCCCTAGCCTGCGAGGCAGAGCAAGACCTCCAGAGCTGGGTCGGGCGGTAAACACAGCTGTTCTGTGGTCCAGACCCTGTTGAAAGATGGTCAGGGTGTGGGGAGGTCGATAGACCCTCGGAAGGATGGCAGGGACCAGGGCTGTGCCATTGCTGAAGGCCCTTCTCTGGACGACACTTACCTTTTGCCAGAAACAGCCGCAGCGACTAGGGAGCGCTTCCTCCGGCAGGGGCTCCGGCGGCGAGCTGGCTCCAGGACTGGGCACCCTGGACCCGTGAGAGCCGCATCGGGGTTCGAATCCGAGCGGGCAAGCGGTGCCGACTGCGGAGGATCCAGGACAGAAGGCCTGGCGCACCGTCGCTGCCGGCTGCGGCCAAGCCCGGCTCTGCTGGGCTTTTCCTCTGGGGTAGCGCCGGCCCCGCGCCCCTCCCCATCCGGGGCGCCTCTGCTAAGACACCCGGGTCTCAGGGGTTCTCAGGGCCGCTGCGTTTCACCTCCTTTAACGCAGAGGCGTGGAGTTGCACGTGTGGGTCTCAGTGGAGCCGCCACAGGTCTCATTACACAACAAAGGGCAGGGAGGGCACGGCAGGAGCCTCTCGGGGAGGCGGAGAGACCCCCGTACCGCGGGCTCAACCCCTGCTCCGGGCTCAAGCTGACGCTGGGGCAGCTCCCCGACCCGTGGCCGGGCAGGACTTCGGTACTCTAGGAGGGCGCGCGGGGGAGCGACTCAGTCGGGGGAGCGACTCGGTTTCCTTCCAGTTCATTCTCGATTCCCAGATTCTCAGATGAGAAATCGGCACTCAGGCCGCCAGGCTCCTGGGCCGGGGCCACCCTGCGTGCACCCAGCCCGGCCCCTCCTCCGCGGCGCCTCGGAGTTTGGGGGCTGCAGGGGCAGAGGAAGCGCCTGCTCCGCTCCCGCCGGCGCTGCTCCACCTGCGCTGCCTGCCCTTCCGCCCCCTACGCACCTGGGCCCGAGAGCTCAGAGGGGAGCGTTCCCAGAGGCCCGGGTCCCCGAAGGTGGCCCAGCTCCGGCGCTCGCGCAGCCAGTCACTCACCTGGGGGCGCGGCGGAGCTCAGCGGGGGTGCAGCGGCAGGAGCGCGCGGGCGGGTCGATCTGCCGAGGACACCCGGTGTTCGGACCGCCGCCCCCGCGCGGGGCTTGTTGGACTCCGCAGCTCCGGGCAGGACCGAGGGCGGCGGGTCTGAGTGCCGCCCGCCCTGGGCAGTGGCGGAGCGCGGAGCTGGCGGCGCCTCCGCTGTTGTTTTTGAGCCGCGAAGCCCGAAGCAGCAGCCGTTGGGTGGGGGCGAAGGGGAGGAGGCGGGGGCCCGGAGGCCCGAGGGGGGCGGCGGGGCCCGGAGGGGGCTTCGGAGGAGCCGGGTTCTGGCGCCGGAACCCCGACGCTCCCTCCGGCGATCGCAGGGCGGGGACGGGGGCCGAGGGGAGAGAGTGGACGGGAGAAAAGCGGGCCAGGGCGACGGGGAACGCCAAGCTTTTTAATTAGTCATAAAATGCAGTAAAACGCAGCAAAACCCGCCCGGACCCTCGTCCGAACTCTCGGCGCGCGTGCCCGGAGATCCGAGGAAGTCGCGTGGAAAACCGCAGCCGCCACCCAGTCTTCGGCCCCGGCTGGGGTGCGAGCCGCAGCGCGACCCGACGCGAGGCAGGGGTAGGGTGGGGGGGATAGTCACCTCGCCTCCGGGGCCACCTGGGTCCTTTTAAAGTGTCCGGGGTGCGGGCCCCAGGCGGGAGCGCCCAGCACGGAATGTTTTCTTAAAGGGCCAGTTACGAGCTGCGCTGAAAAGGGGGGGAGAAGGGGGAGAGAGAAGTGAGACGGAGACCGGGAAGGCCGAGGAGAGCCCCCCAATCCCGCGCCGAGGCGGCGGCGGCGGCGGCGGCGGCGCGACGATGAGGATGATGAATACATTGCAAAGTTTTTTTGGCCCCGGCGAGGGGTGTCAGATTGAGTGCTCTGTGCGCATGTGCGAAGGTGTCCAAACTGACAATGCTGGGGAGATGAAGATAGTGTGTGGCTGCTTCTGGACTCAAGGAGGAGGAGAGGGATTCCGCGAGCCGACACCATGCGATCCAAGGCGAGGGCGAGGAAGCTAGCCAAAAGTAAGTCTCCCGCGCTCGGCCGCGCCGCGCCGCCGGGCCCGGGCCGCCGGGCCCGGGCGCCCGGGCCAGGGGTGCGCGTCGGGGCGCGGCCCGCGCGCCTGCGGCTCGGGGCCCCCGGCTCGGCCGCGCGGCCCGGGGGGCTGCTCCGCCTCCCGCGCTCCGGGGCGACCGGGCCCGGCGCGGAGGCTCGGGGCGCCCGGGCCGCGCGCTCCCCGAAGGCGCCGGCCCCCTCCCCGCCGAACCCCCTCCCCCCCAACAGTGTCAGGCGCTCGGGCCCGGGAACCCGAGGCGCGCGGTGGGGGCCGGGGAGGGGGGCGGAGGGGGAGGGCCGGGGGTGGAGGGGAGCGAAAAGCGAAAGTTAGCGAAAAGTTGACGAAAGGGGAGAGCAACTTTTTCCTGCCCGCTCGCTCTCTCCCTCTCTCTCTCTCCCAGTGGCTCTCAGTCCTGGTCAAATCATATTCCGGGCTTTTGAAATAGTGGGCGCTAGAGCACCGCCTTTGGCGTCCGCCAGCCGGGCGCAGAGGAGGGAGACCCCGAGCCGGGGAGGGGCGGAGGAGGGGGCGCGGGCCGGCGCCCACCCGGCTCCGCGGGCTCAGGGGCAGGGGCGGCGACGGCAGAAACGGCCGCTTGGGGAGCAAAATGGAGACTTTTGCCCGGGCTGGGAACTGCGGCAGTGAAGTTTATGCCCCGGCGGTGCCCCGCGTGGTGGTGGAGGGCGCTCCTCGGGGACGCGGGCAGCCCGCGTGGGCAGCCGAGGTGGCCGTGCGGCCGACAGGAGGGTTCCCACCCGCCACCTCCCGACCCGCCGCGACCGCCCTCCGGCCCGCGGGGAGCCTTCCGCACCCGCTCGCCTGGCACAGCCCGGCCCGGCGGCGACTGTCCCCGGCCGCACTGCCTGGTCCTTGGTCTTACTTTCTCTTTCGCTCCGTCTCGGCCGAGCCCCGGGCTCCGCGCGCCCTGCCTGCCGCCAGCCGGTCCCTCCCGCGAGCCGGGTGCTCCCGCCGCCCGCGCCCTCGCCCGCTGCAGCCGCGCCTCCGAGCAGCCCGCGCACACCCCGCGCCCCGGCCGCCGGCGCCATCCGCTGTGGGCCCGCGGGGCCGGGGGCTGCGGCCGCCGAAGCGGGCAGGTGGGGGCGGGCGGCGCCGCGGCCCGGCGAGCGCGGCTCCCGCAGCCCCGAGGATGCCCCGGCTGCAGCGAAGCGGCCAGCGCCGCCCGCTCACGCAGCCCCCCCCCCCCGCAGGCCGCCCGCCCACCCGCCGCAGAGGCGCCCGCGTCTCTCCTCTCGAGGTCCCCGCCCGACCCACGCCGTTCCGTCCGCGCCTCCGGGGCCGGGTCCCGCCAGGCCGGCCTCGCGGCCACCCAGGGCCGAACCCCCAAACGTGAGCCGGGGTGAGCGCGGGGCTGGCGGCGGTTTCCCGAAGCTCCACTCCCTTGGCTCTGGATCCGCCCGGCTCGTCCCAACAGCGGCCCCGCAGCCGTAGGCCCCGCGCTCCGCGCGCTGGGAAAAGCAGCTCCGAGTTGTTCCGGACGCCCCTGCGCTCCGCCGTCGGCCGCCCGCGGCCCCTCGGTGAGGCGCCCCCTCCCCGCCGGGCTCCGCTGCCGGGTGCCCTTGGCCTCGGCCTCCCGTGACCTCTGACCCCTCTTGGTGCGAACAAGGCCCAGCGTTTCGCGACCGACGCGCGCAGGGGCTGTCTGTGCAGGGCGCTGCGGGCCCTCCGCGCGTGGGGTGTGCGTGTGCGTGTTCGGGTTCGGTTCTGCACCGCGGGCCTTCTCAGAGTCTGGACCACCCGGCTGCCTGCGGGCCGCCAGGTCAGGCCCTAGCCCCGGCAGGACCCAAAGCTGGAGTGAGAAAGTGGAAAGCCGCTGCGCTGTCGCCGGGCCTTCGCTGCAAGCGAGAGGCCGACTCGGCGCACCCGCGCGGCCCCGGAAACTTCCGAGAGGCCCCTGCGCGCCCGGCGCCCGCCTGGCCCCAGCTCCCCGCCGGCCCCACCTCTGCCAGGTGGGGAAGGTTGCCGGGGACTGGGTCTGCTCAGGACCAGAACTGGTGTCTGGCGGCCGTGGTTGCCTGGCCCGGAGGCCGGAGAGCGGGGCCCAACGGGAGCGCCGAGCGCTAGCTTCCTTTTCCCGAGAGTCTTTAGTGAGGAAAACCCCTTGGGAGGTGACTGCCAGGCCTCGGCCCTGCGTCCACACTTGGCTGAGCGCCGCAGGGAACCCCTCCTTCCGGGGTCCACAGCTGGGACCGCTGTCCTCAGGGCCCCCAAGGTGGCTGAGCCAGGTACAGATCACATTGCCTGCCCTGAGCAAGGCGGGATCCGCTGAAGAATTTCATTTCATTAGCCGATATTTTAAGCAGATGTTAACTTCCCCTGGGACCACAGTCACTATTACCTGAATTGGAGGCAGTAGGGCCCGCACTCCGGCCAGCCGGTCCTCCCTTCCCCACAATACCGACCAGGTTAGGAAACTGCGGGGTGGGCCAGGAGCAAGGTCACGGTTACCAGGCTGGTGTTCAGCCTGGGTACAGAAAACAACCAGGCCAGCGGAGGTGACTCCATGACCCAGCGTTTCGGGGGCCACCCCGGCGTGTGCATCTGGGGCTGTAATTTCGTTTGTGTTTCTCTGGAGACCCCCATCCAGGCCTCAGCTCAAGTGGGTCGCTCCTCCTGGTCCTATGAGGGGCTGAATGGTAGCAGCTCTGGGGGTGACCAGGGCTCCCAGCTGAGCTTTCCAAGGACAGAGGTGGCCACGGGGGTATTCAGGCTGGGGCTGTGGCTCAGCTGATGGGAAACCCACAGCCTCCTCCACCTGAGCCTGGGGGCTAGGAGCAGAATAAGGACAGTTCAAGGGACAGGGTCCCCCTACTGAAGCCAGCTCCTTGCAGTCCGGTGATGAAGTGGCCTCGGTGGCCCCAGGTTTACAAACTAAATGCCTAACAAAAGCTCATTGTTTCCAGGGCTGTTTTGATTCAGGTGGGCAGGTGGGGTGTTAGCACCACCAAGATACCCTCCCAACTGTCATCTCCGCCAGTGCTGGGGGGGCCCTCTGTGCAGGTGGAAGATGTGGCCTGGGAGAGGGTCAGCCAGCGCCCCCATCAGAGCTGCCCCTTGAGGCCTGAGCCCCATCTAGGTGACAGACCTGGTCCTAGACGCTGCATACCCCAGGGCTGGGGGAGTGTCCGCTCCAGAACTGCCATCTAGCCCCTGGGGTGGGGGAGCGGCAGCCCCCCCCCCCACCTGCTGTGGGACTGCGAGTGTCTTGCTTGTGTTTGAGGGTGCTGTGTGTGGAAGGTGTGCTTGAGACAGGGTAGAGGTGAGTGGGGCTGGAGGCCCAGCTCACAGCCTCCTTCCTTCTTCCTGCAGAAACAGGCCCGGCTGGCTGGGCCGTCCCTTCTCCCACCCTCCCTGGGGAAATTAGTCCCTTATTCTAGTCCCCTCTCAAGAGCCAGGACGGCTGCCTTCTATCAGGAGGCCGGTTAGGGCAGCAGCGCCAGGAAGCCTCCGGCAGAGTCCAGCGTCTTGCCCCGCTTCGGACGAAAACAGAGGCCGCGGTGGAGAGTGGAGGGGTGGAGTGCAGGGCTGGCCGCCAGGGCCTGATGCCCCGCTGCAGTGGACTGTGCCGCCGCAGGCCCTCCCTCTGCTCCCGGCGGGCAGGTGTGCTGTGGCTCCGAAGCTGGCAGGAGGGGGCTTGCCAAGCTGGCTTGTGGAGCAACTGCTGGGTGGGCTTCTTGGGGACAGGCGCTGGCCTTGCCCTGGGCTCGCCGACCACCAGACTCCCACCCGGGGCCGCCCTCCTTGTCCTGTGAGCGGCACTCCAGAGCAGGTGGCACTCAGCCTCCTGGCCCCTCCTGGCCCCTCCTGGCCCCTCCTGGCTCCAAGGCTTCCTCGGCTCCTGAGTCCTCCTCTGGGCAGTGCGCAGGGCAGGGGACCAGGTCTGCCGTTTCTGCTGGGAGGCTGGGTGATGGTGGCCGGGCAGCCAGGGGCTTCCCCCCACCGGGACCCTCAGGGGAGGCCAGGCTGGTGGCAGCTTGCTGGGCTGCGGAGGGCCCGATTAGCCCCCTGTTTTATTCAATTAGGAGGCAATTAGGGATCCTTGGGGGGCTGGGGCTGGTAATTAAGGTGATGTATAATTAGAGTTTCAACAAAAATTATCCAGGATTAAAAATCTTTTGAATAATTTCGTTTAAAAATTTCAAATAGCGTTAAATACAATTTATCAGGTTTTGAATCAAACCCGTGTAACAAGTCTTGGAAGCTGCAGCTCCCGGCGCCCGCGCGGGAGGACCGGGAGCAGCTCGGGCGACTTCCCCGTGCGGGAAAGAAACTTCGCAGCGAAGCCAGCTGGCTGGGGCCTCGCCGTGGCGCAGACTCTGGCCGCCGAGGACTGCAGACTGCGGCGGCCGGGTTGGGGAGCGGGATCTGGGGGCCCCGGGCCGGCCGGTGGTCGCGGCCGACTTCCCGCTCCCGGCGCACAAAGTCGCGGCCAACTACCGCGCCGCGCGAGCAGCGCCCGCCTCTCCACCGCGCAGCCGGCGCCCCAGACCCTGGCCCGACAGGAGCGGCGCCCGCCCCTCTAGAGCCCCAGCTTGAACCCCAGGGTCCCCTCCTCCTGGCCTCCCTGGCGGAGAAGGGCGGCCTTTACGTCCCGAACCCCGGACCCTCGGCCTCGTGCGGGACCCCGTGGGCGCCAGGCCCCCGCTCACGCCGCTTTCCTGTGGCATCCCCGACCTGCGCCCCGAGAGACGCAGGAGCGCGCGCCGCCTGGGTTCAGGTAGGAGCTGTGTGGGGAGGGAGGACGGTGCAGAGAAACCGAGGCAGAGGGTGGGAGCCCGGATTTCGAGGGCAGACCCGCCTGCACAGCGTCGCGGAGAAGATAGATCCAGTCTGATCCGCAGCCCCGGCCCCCTCGGGGACCCGCAGGACTTTTTAAAGATGTCCCAGTGCCTAGGGGACCGGACCCCTCCTCCCT